CATACATGATCATAGCATGTAGAGTAACGTGACAGTAACATCCTATGCTAGGACCTGCCTTTCAGGACTGTTGAGGGATGCCAGACCATAAACCAGGGGCCTTAGCTACTCCCCTTAGGTTCCATGAGGTCAGAGTCAGGAGGGGAAAGGTTGGATATTGACCTTTGTGAGAGGCTCACGGCGCCTTCACTGGGTCTGAACCCAGACGAATGCGGCCACACTTTCAATGACTGTTTCACTCATGTCTCACAAGTCCTGCTTTCTGCTGGGTTTCTCCTCCTGTACCATTCGTTGGAACTCTTTCCCTCTAAGTGCATATATGTCGGCTCTGTTCTGTTTCTGGCTATGTGTCATTCCATCGTGTACTCAGTTACCTTTTTTGTTTTCTCGGGGACCACACCCAGCATTGATCATTGAGCTATTCTTGGCTCTGTTCTCAGAAGTGACCCCTGGCACTGCTCAACCCGTAGTTAAGTGCCTTCACCCCTGAATGCTCTCACCAGCTGCTCCTGAGATTGGTTCTTCACAATCCTGAAATTCTTCCGAGATGCACAGGAGCACCTATGGGAGAATTCCTTCCAGAAGCTTCTTTGACCTGGACTCACAAGTGCTTCTCTTAGGAAGCACTGCCAGAGGCGCATTTCTGGAAAGGCAGTGCTCACCCCACTGTGGGAATGAATGCCTGATTCCCTCTGTCCTTTGATCTTGGGCTAATGGATGAAGGAAACATCTCTCTCAAATTCCCTGAATCCCACCAGGGTTGAACTGATTCTTTTATTATTATTATTATTTTTTATTTATTGAATCACCGTGAGAGCAGTTACAAAGCTTTCGGGTTTAATACTCAGTTGTACAATAATGAAACACGTCCCTTCACCAGTACCCATTTCCCACCACCAACAACCCCAGTATACCCCCCATCCCACACCCTCCTCCTACCTGTGTGGCAGATGATGTCCACATTACTCTCTCTACTTTGATTACATTCTATATTTCGACACCAGCCCCACCATTGTTATTTGAGATTTTTCCCCAATACTTAGATCTGCCAAAAAGGCAACATTAGACACTTTGCTTTCTGTTGCTGATTATGAATAGCATATGATGTATGCTACTGTGGTTAGGCTTTTTTGGAATTCTGGACTTTTAATAATTAAATCTGGAGGGATTTCTGCCAAAAGCCTCTGGATTCTGAGATTTGTTTCTGGGTCTCTGGGATCATGGCCACTCAGCAACTCTATCAGGAGCCAGAGAGCTGAACTGATTCTTTATTTGGGAACAGGATCGTCTACGTTTCCTCTAGAAATGGCCTTCTGTTGTTTACTTTGTTTTTAATACTCTTTTCTGAGACGTAAGGCAAATATTATCCTTGTCTTATTTCTTTCATTGATTGATTGGGAGTGTGGGTCACACCTGGTGGTGCTCAGGGGCTATTGCTGGATCTGTGTTCAGTGACACTCCTGGAGGGGCTCCAGGGATTATATGTGGCATCAGGGATGAAACCAGGATCAGCAGCATGTGAAGCAAAAGCCCTAAGCCCAGTATTGTCTTCCAAGCCCATGTGACTCCTCTCTTAACTCTCTGTAGAGATTTTATGTATATGTGCACAATGAACCAATTTTTGTCTCTATTCATTCTAGGTTTTGCTTTGGTTGGAAAAGTCTTTAGGCCTCAAGATTAAAACAGTCTTGGGGTCAGAGTGATAGTATAGTGGGTAGGGCATTTGCTTTGCAGACAGCCGACCCGTGTTCAATTCTCGGCATCCCATATGGTCCCCTGAGCATGACCAGCAGTAATTCCTGAGTGCAGAGCCAGGTGTGACCTGGGTGTGACCCAAAATGCCTAGAAATAAAACAGTTTTCTGTCCTATCTCCACACAGCTTTGTAACCGGTTTTTGTGTAGGCTGAGTTTGGAATCCATACCTTTCTCTAACTGGCAAACCCATTGTTTGCACCATGAATGGAGCCATCGTTTTTCTCAAAACGACTGAAATGCCACCTTTATCAGAGATGAAACTTGCTTTTTGTGTCGGCCCATCCCATGCTTCCTCTCCCTGCTCCACTGACTTAGTTTCTATTCCTGCACCAGCCTGAAACTTTAGTTATTTTAGCCTTAGAATAACTTTATCAGGAAAGGAAAATTCCTTTTTGTTGCTACTTAAAAAAAAAAATGCCTTTGTGCTAGTGTGCGTTTCTCCTTCCATGTGAACTTAAAGAAACAGCCTACTGTTTATAGAGGAAATTCCTAAGTATTTTTGATGGCAAATGCTTTGCATCAATAGGTTTGTCTGGTATCCTGATAATATTCTGTTTCCGCCTCTAGAATTAGTATGTGTCTGTATGTCTTTTAGCCTGCAGCCAAGTTCTGTAATTTTCTTTCTGTAGGTCTTACGTTCAAGGGTATATTTGTTACTATTATAAACTTAATTCTATTTTCTCAGTACACCTACTCAGTTTGTATAGCTATTGAATAGACAAATGGTTGATTTTTTTAAAGTAATATTTTTAATCTGTTACTACACTCTTCGGTGACTATGTCTGTCTCTTTCAAAAGTGAACATTGTCACTGTCACTGCCCTCCCGTTGTTTATCAATTTGCTCAAGCGGGCCCAGTAACGTCTCCATTGTGAGATTTGTTGTTACTGTGTTTGGCATATCGAATACATCACGGGTAGCTTGCCAGGCTTTGCCTTGTGGGCAAGATACTCTCCATAGTTTGCCAGGCTCTCCGAGAGGGGCGGAGGAATCGAACCCAGCTCGGCCGGGCTGTCTGTGCACAAGGCAAATGCCCTACTGCTATGCTATCACTCCAGATACTAAAAAAATTGATACATCTCTTTCAGTGAACTATAGTTAGTCCCTTGAAAGAAACATATCAATGGCCTTATAGATTTCTTTCACTTACACAGAGGGTAGGACTAAACCAAAGTAGAATTGGTCAAACATTGTATTTGGTCTTATTCTACCTCTCTGTTATTGTCTTTTGGTTGTGCTCAGAACTCTGCATTCAGGAATCACTCCTGGGGGGTACCAGGAATTGAACCCAGGCTATGTGCAAGGCAGGCTGTACTGGGTATTCATCCCTCTCCGTGAGAATGTTTCAGATGTTGCACCACTAAGTATGGTAGCTGCACCATATCAACTTGAAGACATCTCATTCTGCTCTCAGCCTTTAGAGTAGCGTGGCTTTCACTCTGTCACGCATCGGATTCCTGCCCAGGGGCCTTGGTGTTTTGCTTCACCTTCTCCTTGAGAACCAGACTCCTCACAGTGCTGACATCCCTGCTGGCCCACCTAGTTTTGACCTGAGGAACAACTTGTGTCAGCTTCCGGTCACTCCCATTTGACCTGGGATGTCTCGAGGGGCATTGCTATTTGACGTTGACGTTTTTGTGGTCCTCTCAGCTCCAAGCTGGGGGGGGGGGGGAGTTTAAAACACTACTTTGTGCATAACACTATTTCTGGAATTTTCTGGCAGGCATCCCTGATAGGATTTCATCCCTGGCTTCTACAGTCGAATCATTCTCCTTTTTCTCCACTTGATTAGCTCGTATTTGGACCCCCATCACTACACCCTAGCTGCTTGGCTACATTGGTGGCATTTGAGGGGTCGTGAGAAGGGTCCCAGCCAGATCTCTGGCTTCCTGTGAAGGCCACAGGGTGCAGGGAGCAGCCTGGTGCATCTCTGGGCTCATGGCCCTCTCGTGCCCAGCTGGGGGCGAAAGACATGACCTTGCAGTGAATTGCTAGAATGGTTTAGCCACGGAGAGCATGAGTCATTTTGAGGCGCTGAAGATTTTCTGCTGCACTGTGAAGGAGGGGCGGGGGGGTTGGATTTTGTCCATGGGCATTTGGAGCCTGGCTCCGATGGGACTTGTCTGGAGAATTATTCCTTAGTGACATTTTTCTTCGGGGAGCTCCACACCTCTGAGGGGTGGCAGTTGTCAACTTCAGTAATAGAAAAGACCCCAACATCCTTCAGAGCCAACCTCAGATGAATGCCTCCTTCAGGAAGAGCTTGTGCAAAGTTCAGCAAAGGGCTGTCGGAGGTTTCGTGGAAGGGAGTTTGGGCACCTACTCAGATAAGAGCAATGGAAAGTGTCTTTTGGTGGATTTTCTCCTCTTGACAGTAGCTGCATCTTTGTTTCTGTTTTCAGACTCTCATGAAGAGGGCTGGCCTGGAGCAATAGCACAGTCGTAGGGTGTTTGCCTTGCAAGCTGCCAGCCCGGCTAAGCTGGGTTCGATTCCTCCACCCCTCTCGGAGAACCTGGCAAACTACCGAGAGTATTTTGCCCGCACGGCACAGCCTGGCAAGCTACCCATGAAGTATTCAATATGCCAAACATAGTAACAACAAGTCTCATGATGGAGACGTTACTGGGCCCGAGGACAGTGACAGTGACAGATGAAGAGGGCAAGAACCTGCTTGATACGAGGGTCCTTCCGCGTTATTGCTTTCATACAAACCACCATCAACCTTCAAAATCAATTTGGATATTAGTGTTTGTGTTTGTTATTGTTGCTATTGGTGGTGATTTGTTTGTTTTGTTTGGGGGTCACACCTGGTGAGGCTCAGGGGTTTCTCCTGGCTCAGCACTCAGGAATTACTCCTGGCAGTGCTTGGGGGACCATATGGGATGCCGGGGATGGAACCTGGTCAGCCGCAGGCAAGGCAAAAGCCCTGCCCACTGCATTATTGCTTCAGCCCAGATGTTAGTATGTTTTGAGGTGGTGTTTGGGGGAGGTGTCATGGACCCATCTCAGGGCCTGCGGTGTAACTGCTAGTCATCCAGGTGCTCACAAGCCAAGAGAAAGAGTATCTGGCACCCCTGAGAAGAAGTGTAGCAGCCGGGGGCACTGCTCGGCCCCCTCCTCACTCAGTGGGCTGGAGGGAAGGAAGTTTGGTCAGTCACTCCTTTATTTCTCCTGCCTTGGTTGCTTGTCGTGGGGGGAGGCCAGAAAGAAACAGACTGACTGTCCCCTACTTCTTCTCTCGCAGGCGGGTGACAAGCATTACCATCCTAGCTGTGCACGATGCAGCAGATGCAACCAGATGTTCACGGAAGGAGAGGAAATGTATCTTCAAGGTAAGGCAGGGTGCCAGCACACTCTCCCCAGCTGGGTGAGGGAAACTCACCACCATGGTGGGAGCATTGGTAGAGAAGGTGGCATTTCATTAGCTGTTAAACCCCAAAGCCCAATGGTAGGTGGCCCTAAAGGTGACCTCATCTCCCCCCACACACACTCCCCCATCCCATCTCCCCCCCATTCACCAGCCAGGCAGTTGACATGCTGGCACTGAGCACCCCCGAGGCTGTTACTCAACCAATGTTTGGCTGCTGCAGTGAATGAACACAAGAATTGGAGTCTGTTGATATGGATCTAAGGCAAGAGAGAAAGTCAGCCATGGGAGCCTCCCAGCCCTCCCCAGGAAAGAGCTTCAGACACGTTCGCAGCAGAGAAAAGCATTTCTAGACATGCTACTTACTGGTTGGCTTCTTAATCCCCCCACCCCCATCGCTCTCCTGTGAGATTGATTTTTGAGGCCACCCAGGCTGCTCTGGGCTTTCAGGGAGAAGAAAGTGTCCTGTTGGGTGGACTTATCTGGGTGTAGCATCCCATTATAGTGGGAGAGAGAGAGAGAGAGAGAGAGAGAGAGAGAGAGAGAGAGAAAGAGAGAGAGAGAGAGAATATATCCACCGTCCTTGGAAGAAAAATGCAAAAGTTGACAGTGGCAAGGAAATTCGCCTTGAACTTGAGAATCATTTTGAGACATGTCCCCACTGTACAACCATGATTCGGTTTTATCTCTAAAATTCCAAAGCTTCTCGGAGAGATGTTCGTAGGAGGAGTCTCTTCCATCCAAGAGCACCATCTGTGCAAGCCTTTTGCTATTTTTAGCTGAAATAAAGAGTCATTAGTCAGACAAGGGCTTGTCAGTAAAATTAGCAAGAACCATAACAGCGATTGCTCGTTCCGTTTGGCTAATTACTGGGTCTCAGCCGCCTCTGTCTGTCATTTCTTCGTGTCTCTTTGCACATAACGCTGTGTATTTTTAATGAATGGTTTGCTTTGATCTCAGTTTTGTTTTCATGCAACGAAGGAAAGTGTACAGAAATGAGTACTAAGGCGAAACCTTGGCTATCCTCATTACACCCTTTTAACGGGTGGAGGGTCCCTGCTGAGAAGTCATGACTTAAAAAATAAAATAAAAGTTACTGAAATTTAAAGGCATTTAAAAGTCAAAAGGCGCCGTGTAATCCCATCAGCGGCCAAGACTCAGAGACTATAAAATCCAGATCCCGGAACCACGCGGCCGCATTTGCGGCCGCACGACATCTTATCAAAACCTTTTTTTTTATGACATCTTATTGTCTCATTCCTACTTTGGACAAACTTGCAGGCTATCGAATGTAGCCTGCCCACAGGGCAGAGTCTGGCAAACTCCCCGTGGTGTACCAAATATGCCAGATACCAGTAACAATGATGGGTCTCATTCTCCTAAATAGCCTTGAATATAATCTCAGGGCTAGGATGAAAGAGACGTTACTGGGGCCTGCTCGAGGCAATCGACGAATAACAGGATGATGAAATGAAAATGAAATGAAAAGTCAAGTGACAAGTGCCCCAAAGCACATTCTCCCACGGGCTTTCTGAGACCCGCATCCTCCAGGGCAGGCCGGGAGGTTGCAGGCAGACAGGTGGCACCTTGTGCTTTATCGGGGAGCTGATTTCTTCTTTGCCCGGTCCCCTGGCGTTTGTTTTCTGCGGGACTATGTCAGTCTCGGCACCCCCCCCAACGCCCTGACAGCAGGATGCACGTCAGCCCTGCGTCCGCAGAGAGCGCGGCGCCCTGGCCATCCTGCACGTTCTCAGGGCTCTGGAAGCCTTAAGCTGTGACAAGAACAGCACATGACCGTAGGACAAACAAACAGCTCAGCAAGGCCAGTCGGCATGCGGCACTCGGCGTCCCAAAGCTGGTGACACATTTATTTCTGCTTGGAGGGAGCTTCCCAGTCCTTTCCGCCCACCTTTTGGCCACTTCCTTCAGCGGGTTCGCCCCCCCCCCCCAGCACCCACCGTCTCTCTCCGTCTTCGAGGACTCACCTCTGGCGGATGTTGTGACTCCACGTGCAAACTGGTGCGTGTTCTGGCTCAAGACTCTGCAGAAGGTTCCAGCACAGGCTGCTCCCAGCCGGCCTGGTCTCACCACATGGGAGGATTTCCTGTGCTTTTGTAGCTGGCCTCAAGCGTCATTGTTAGAGCACCGGAGAATGTGTGTCTGCTGGCTTTTGTTTGATTTCTTTCCTTTTCTTGCGGTGCTGGGTGAAAGCTGATAGAAATGATTGTTAAGCAGGGATTGTGTGTATCTTGATAAAAAGCGTTTTTTGTTTTGTTTTGTTTTGCTTTTTAATGTTTTTTTTTTTTATTGTCACAAATTTAGCTCAGTAGAGGAAAGTCATTTCCAACTTACTTCAGTCTGGTGACTTTGCAAGATTTTCCAGTGCTACTTGAAGAGATAAAGATCAAAGCAGGGAGATGCATGTAGAAAGTCCGATTTGCAGACTGATTCATTACATTTATAGCACTGAAGCCCTAATTGCAACTTGGTAACAGTTTTTGCATAGATTGTTTTATTTTGAAATTTTCTTTTGCCCATCCTCACACTTGAATATCTCTTTAAACAAACATCAGATATACAGGGATTCCTACCCATAACTATGTGAATGGTTCATATTATTACCTAGACACATGGGCTTATAGAGGCTTATATAGCCTCACCTTAGAGACAGGTGGGTGCTGTAATGTGGAACCAACCATCCGTGGAAATATTTCATACTCTAAGAAACTGGACCCCGAACCCCGCCAAGAGAAAGGGCACTTCAAGTATAAACTTCCCTGATTTAACAGAATTTTTTTTCTTCATGAGTGAAAAAGAAACATCTGGATTTGGAAAATAATTTTCAACTTTTTTTTCACTCCAGTGGACTTAGTGCCCCAGATCTGCATCTCTGGGTCATGGGATTCGCACACGAGTCAGTGAGTTTCACTTCTGAACCTTCTAGAGACAGACCTAGGTTTGTTTTCATGGCCCTCAACCCAACTACTCAGTTTGTCATGTTGTAGAAACACAGTTCGTGGCTTCTGTTTCTATAATCAAGCGCAGCCCAGGTGGAGAAAGCATGCAGACAATGCTTTGAAAGGTTGGTGATGGTTTTTTTTAGAAAAACAGCACAAGCCAAGAACGAACTGGCTCTTGCCCAGAGGTGGTCTAGATCGACAGCCGTTCCGTCGAGTGCTTTGATATGACAGGCTGGTTGGTGGACCCACCTCACACTTGGCCCATGATGCACTGAGCCTAGACACAGTCTCTCTTTCTTTGGTTCCTTGCAGGTTCCACCGTTTGGCATCCCGACTGTAAGCAGTCCACAAAGACGGAGGAGAAGCTGCGGGTAAGGACCACGCAGAGCTGGGGGTGCCTGAACCACAGGGCAGGACTCAAGGCCCAAGAGCAGCAGTCCTGGGGCTGTGTGGTGCATGGAAGGACTTTGCCATGACCGTTTCCCAACCCCCCCCCCCCCATCACAGCAACTCATTTCTGTCCAGGGATGTGGTTCGCTCCTCTCTCACCTCGGTTTTGAGTTTTGTCCCCAAGTACTGGTGTTAGACCAAGCGCAGCTCGCCTGGTCCTCGGGAAAGCATTCAAGGGAAAACGTCAGATGCAGATGTGAAGAGATCTGGGTCTTACACAGAGGCTGTTCCACAGGCTGTTTCTGTACGCAGTCCAGAAGGCACTGTTCCAACCCAAATGCTGCTACCCTAGCTCCCCTCTCCACAAGTCCCCCGGCCTCCGAACACTGGAGACGGGAATGAGGAGCCCAGCTGTGTCGAGCCTGGGAACAGACATCTGGGCTGGTTTTCTAACTTCACTCCTAGGTGACATAAAAATGTTCTAGTCATTCTAGAAAACAGGAGCGGAGGGCCCAAGGCTCGAGTCGCCTCCTCGCTCCCCCCTTAAAGTCTTCTTTGAAAGTCTGTCCACTTCTCGGAACAAGCCCAGATGACAGTGTTTTATGAGCTGTGCGCAGTTGGGAGGTCATGGCCATGACCCGCATCTTAGCCAGATGCTCCCCCCCAGCACTGCAGTGCCAACCTTTTGGGGGCCTTTAGCAGACTGCTTCCCAGTCCACACACACACACACACACACACACACACACACACACACACTGAGCTGAGTAGTTCCCATGGAAAAAAATGGGGCTGGCTGTACTCCACAGAGAGTCACAGGGAACAGGGAAGCCTGGATTGGTTTTTGAGGGCAGACTCAAAGGGTGGGAGGATTTCTTGTTTGTTGTGGGAAGCAGGCCTCTGCACCTCTGCACGCCCTTCCAGCCCTAGCTCTGCTCAGTGGGGCCTGTCGCTACATGTCCCCAGCAGAGGGATAGCTAGCTACAGAGAAAGGACCATGAACAAGTCCCATTTATGCACAGGCTCATGAGCAAACACACACACACACACACACACACACACACACACACACACACCCCACACACACATACCCCCCACACACACACAGAGGAATAATAACCTTTCCCCCCCCAAGATCTTTCTTTATTCTCTTCCATGAAACCTCTCTACTCCCAACAATGTCTTTTCCTTTGCTTGATATTTTTTCTCCATTATCAGATGAAGACATTTTGACTTTGAGATACTTTCGAAACTTGCCCTTTACCTGAGACACCCTTTGAATGAAAGTGGTTGTGTTAGAGTCACTGTTCATGTGCACATATTTTACGTGGAGGAAAGAAAACTCCCGCTTTGCTCAAAGCAGTTGGGTAATAATTGAGCACAGACCAACTGGCAAAGAATTTGCCTACCGATATCGGGGTGCACTTGGTCTCTGTCGACAAGGAGCTTCAGTTTAAGCCTATGGACTGCTCTCCCGTCAGGACACAGGCCTCTCAATGTGTCTGAGCATGAAACTCATTTGAGGAGCACGGATGGTTTGGAAATGGGTTATTTTTATGAAAAGCTAGAATATGGAAGATAACCCTTGTCATTTCCAACCTAAGAATCCAATATTCTCAGCAGAGTTTGGGGATAGAGCCTGGCCTCAAAACCACCCAAATATTTTTAGTGGGGTGCTCCCTCTACAGAATTGACTTTACTTTTTTCAATAATTGTTTTTCCTTCATCCCTGATGGAGCCTGTTGGGAGAAGAGAGGAAAGCTAATGAGGCCGGACTGATTGGGACATGTCTTATCTTCATAAGGAGGGATTTGAGTTTGCAGATTGTTACCAAAATGACTTTCTCAAAAAACAAACAAACAAAATTAAAAATCAACTCTCTTGATCACATCTTGATGAAAACAGTCAATTCTGGCCAAGAGAAGCTGTTGTTTTCTTCCTTTCATGCAGCCTTCCAGAGAGTGGCAGAAGCTCCCACAGCCAGTGGCTAGCACTTGGGCGGTCAGGCTAGACATGGACTCACCCCCTCGGGAGGCTGATAGTCTCTGAGGCAATGCACCTCCATGAGAGGGCGGTTCTATGGCACCCCAAGTGGGGCACATGCCTATTGGTTGGTGGGGCTAAAGAGAAATCGGTTTTGAGAAAGGAAATAAATCTGAGGCTCTCTTAAGGGTGTGTCTATACAACACAACACTCCGGGCCAAGATTCTGAGCCCTCTCACTGGCTGTCACTTCAGCCGTTTCCATAGCAAACGGAAAATGTTGTAAGAGCCTCTCAGCACCACCTCACAACACACACACACACACACACACACACACACACACACAGCAAGCCACATTGGTGATGTTTCAGAGCTCCTAGGGCCTTACAATGACAGATTTCCAAGTTGGCCTCTTGTAGGCTTTCTTTGTCTTTCTGTTCCTTTGGAAGAGTGTCTAAGAGTGTCTAATCCGTGGAAATGAACAACCAGGTTGGAACCCAGGTGGTGCCTGTGTTTATGTGAAGACCATGCTTTGACACGGAGACCCAGGACACACACACACACACACACACACACACAAACACACACATACACACCAGCTAAGCAACGCCCCTTGGCATTTCCCACCAAATTAGCCTTCTCTTTTATGATCCGGTTTGGTCTTTGTCCGTGCTGACTCGAGGCTCTCTCTTTGCTCATTCTTCCCTCTCTCCAAGTTTCAACAGCAGCCACCAGCCATCCATCGTTCTTCGTCCGATTTCTTTTATCCCAAAAGCCTGATTCGACGCACAGGCCGGTCTCCGTCTCTGCAGGTTGGCGCCGTGTCTGTGCTGCAGCAGTGTGTGCACTGCGACCGGGCCCTGCTGACTGCCCCAGGCCCCAGGCTCTGCCGCTTTGCCTCCCCACGAAGCAACCGCAGCTAGTGTCCGTAGACGCTGTCTCACCCGCAGGCTGCTTCTCACGTTCTCGTTCTGGCCGCTTCCTTCTCTGACTGTGTTTCCGTTTAGAGTAGTGGCTGAAGTGTAGACCCCTCCCCTGGGGCCCGTGTCCACACATTTGTTCGCCGAACAAATATTTGCCAAGCATCTGGGGGCCTCCAGGGACTGGATGCTGTGGATTGGGACGTAGAGAAGAATAAAGGCAGATGAGGCCGTGAATGGGGCAGTGGGGGCCCATGACACCCCCACACATACCACACACACACACACACACACAGACACACAGGCCCACACATACACACACACAAAGCACTACTAGATACGGTCTGGTAACTCCCCCAGTGTCAGCCCTGTTTTACGAAGGCAAGCAGGTAGATGATTCTGGAATGGTGTCGAAACCAAGTACCAGTTATGGAGTGCAGAGATGGTGTTCTTGATGATGGCAGAAGAGAGAGGGGAGTCTCGGGACCTTCCCTGGGAGATGCATGTGATTTCTGAGTTGAATAGCTGAGACTGGATGAAATTTGAATGTGTGTAAGTGGTGAGAAAGCAGTGAGCCGTGAAGGGGCCCTTAGGATCATGGAGCAGGGGAGAAGCAGTGTGTGGGTGGGACTCAGAAGTAGGGGAAGAGGCCTAGAAGGCCAAGTACAGCCCTGCAGAGATGGGCTCACACACAGCTGCCTCTGCTCCCCGAAGGATCCCCTCTGGGAGGGAACCCCATTTCCACCAGCCCCATCACAGACTGGAGATACCCTCCCGAGGGGAGCAACTTTCCCAGGGGTACCCCACCAGTGAATGAAAGAGCTGTGCTTGCCCCCTCAGAAGCCTGTAATGTGTGTCCTTTCTGCTTGTACCCCAAGGGAGTGTTGAGGGAAGAAGTGCGGGGTGTTCGAAGGGGGCAGTCACTTTCCTTGGTGTGCAGGTGTTTGAGGGACAGGGCAGTCCACCAGCACCCCACTTGGGTACCCAACAGTGCTGCCATCATCAGCTTCCCGGTGGGCAGCCGGGCTGGAGGAAGTGGCCCCTGCCCACCTTGGATTCCTTTGGGGGCCTCTGAGAATCCGTTGACAGGTTGACCTGCTAGCCCCAGAGGGACAGTCCACGGCCACCTCTCTGCCCCATGAGACCCACTGCAGACCTCAGCCCTGCCTCCCACTGTCTCCCAGGTGCCTGCACTGCACAGGTGCTGGGCTTTGTTTGGATGAAAACTTGGCTGATGTGAAGGACAGACTCGAGCTTGAGGGTGGACTGAAGCTCTGTAGACATTGCCCTCCCAGTGTGTCTTCACACGGGGCCTGCAAGCAGCCTGGAGCTGGCACAGGTGGCAGACAAACCTTCCAGACCGACTCCTCCCAAGTGGGGAATTTCAGGTCGTGGGTATGTGCTATTGGCCTGGCATCCCGGGCTCTGCACCGTCTTGGATTTGCCATCTGGGCTGCTTACTCTCACCCACCCGAGCTCCAGGGGCCAAGGTTTCAGAGGCAGCAAAGTGTGAGCCTTGAGGTTCAGAGGATCGGAGATCAGCCCCCCACTGCAAGTGGGGCCCACTCAGCATCGCCCCTCTGCTTGGCAGGAAGCTGCCCTGCCTGCCCAGGGTCTCTCCCCGCCCACCCCCACCACAAGTAAACTGTGACTCAAACAGTGTCTTAGCTGGTTTGCCACAGGCCAAATCCAAGTGGGGTATTTTCAGATCCTGAAAAATACTGAGTAGGATTTTTTTTTTCAGTGGGTCCAGAGCCTTCCGTTTAGGAGATCCGCGGGACCTGCAGACGTGTGGAGGGTTGGGAGAGGCAGGATGCTCTGTTTTTAATCACCTCGCTCCTGCTTGCCTGTCGTTCCGGAGGGACATCTGGTTCTCATTACCCAGCCGTAGACGTGCGCAAGGTCCATGCTTCCCCCCTTGCACCCACGATGCTACAGGGCCAGGAATCCTTTCACCCGTTGACCTTTGAAGGACTCCCCTCCTCAAGCCCCCAAGAAACCCTAACCTGCCAAAACAGCCCAGTTCTCAGTCCCTGACACTTCTCTCCTAGAACTGCTATGATGTAGAGAGCAGCTCCCAGCCCAGACGAGCTCCAGCGTCTTGGGGTGTCGGCTGACCTGGCCACGGCCTTGTGGGCACCAGGACATTCTGCGCCCGGAAGAAGCCCTGGGTTTGTTGCTGAGGAAAGTCAGATTTATGGGGGGAAAAGGCTTCGTATTGTTCCTCTCCTGAAGCCATCCCTTTCCTCTTGCCTGACTTACTGGCAAGAGCAAGTGATGAAAATAGGATTCCCAAAGCCGAAACGTCCTCTACTTTCGCTCCCCTGGAGGAGTTTTGTCCAAATGAGATGGTTGTCCACCAGATCGACACTGAGCATGTGTCCTACGTCTCGCTCTTCGCTGAGGCAAAGCTCGGGTGGCCGAGTGTGTGATAATAACCCAGCATGAGCACTGGCTTCTGTTCTAAACGGGGGCTGCCTCTGAGGGAAAGCATGAGCGTGTTCCTCCCCGGCAACGGGCCTGAGGGGGTTTCCCTTTGGAAACTAACAGTCACTCCTTAGAATGTGTGCGCTTTGCCGGGTACCGCCAGACCCGTGTTGTATTAATGAGCCAGTCGTTGTGTTGTAGCAATGTCCCGCACAGGGCAGGCAGCCTTCCTTCTACGGATTTTTTTTTTCCTCCTTGGTGTGTCTTTACAAGTTCCCGAGCTTTATAAGGGGAGGACATAGAAGCCAGCTGTCCAAGGTGAAGGCTGTCGGTAGATGGGGACAATCAGGAGGAGGAGCGTGTGTCCATGTGCTACCCCTAAGCCCTCCTTCCCCACAGATGCAGTTCCCCTCACTCCTGACTGAGCAGTAAACTTCCGGTGCATGTGGATAGTAAAAGCACTCCTGGGACTGGAGCGATAATACAGAAGCGGGGGCGTTTGCCCTTGCATGCGGCCAACCCGGGTTCAATTCCCAGTATTCCATATGGGCCCCCGAGCACTGCCAGGAGTGATTCCTGAGTGCAAAGCCAGGAGGAACCCCTGTGCCGGGTGTGAGCTAAAAAGCAAAATATAAATAAAAATAAATAACAAAAATAAATAAGTAAATAAAAGCATTCCTGCAGCTCTTGTCCAGCAAGTGTCCACCTGGAGCGTAGGGTGGGTTCTGTCCACTCAGCAGCCCTCGCTCTCAGGCGCCAGTCCCCTTATCTCAGTAGTGCCCCCCACCACCACTATGCTTACAATGTGGGTGCCCAAAGCTTCTCTGTAGAGCATGGCCTGGGGTGAATGCAAAGTCAATGAAAGCGCTATAGCCATCCCCCGCCCCCCCCCCCCCCGCCCCATCCTTCTGCGGATGAGAGCCCTGGATACTGCTGCATCCTCCTAGGAGGGGGACTGGCCTGTGTGATGGCCTATGCTGGGGACAGTGTGTCTCTGCTTCCTTTCTCTCCGGTAAGTGTCTTGGTGGCCCAGGTTGGAAGAGCCGAGTGGAGACTTTATAAATAGGATCTCCGCCATGGAATTCTCTTCCTGCGGCTGCACCTGTCGAATAGAAGCGCGGGTGGGCAGGCCAGCCAGGGTCCCTGCGCTGGCCAAGGGGGAGTTGGAAGGTTTTCTGAGCAGGGTTTCACGCAGAAAACAGAGACCTGTATTTCTCAGCATCTCCTTTGAGGGGTCCAAGGTCAACTTTCCCCCCCCCTTCCCTGCTGGTCTTCAGGATTTCTCTTTTTTTGTTGCTTTTTAGAGGACAATGTAAGACTTGTGTGCTTTGAAATCAAATGCGGGAGTGTAAAGTCAATGCGAGGCAGCTTCCTGTCTCCTCCTTACGCCCAACTAAGGCCTAAAGTCTTTTTTTTTTCTTTCTTTTTTGCTTTTTTGCTTTTACTTCTGGCTTTGCACTCTGGAATTACTCCTGGTGGTGCTTGAGGGACCATATGGGATGCTGGGAATCGAACCCCAGTCAGCCACGTGCAAGACAAATGCCCTACCGGCTGTGCTATCGCTCCAGCCCCAAGGCTTGAAGTCTTAATCTCAATGGCAAAAGCTTGGGGGTAGAAAGTCTATAAACCTTCCTGCATCTGCGTTGTTTTCCTCATGCACCCTGGTTCCCTTCTCACTTGTTCATTCATTTAGTTATTTGGCCCAAGATAAAGTCAAAAGAAACCACCAAACAGCATGCTTTCAGGGGAGGAGCTTCTAGAGAAGTGAAGGCATCTGCCTTCAGTAGCTTCCCCATGGGGGCCCTTTCCCCGCTGTAGCACAAAAGTAACCTCACCTGTCTGCAGACATATTTGAAGGCATCTTCATTTATAATAGAGGCAAGAGAGCAGTTTTGCTCCTCACAGCCACTCATGGAAGATTTCAAAAATGAAGGCGGTGAACTCTTCGATGGCTCATAGACTCCAGTCCTTTTTCTCTGGGCCACCGTGCGTACCCTGGCTATGCGAAGAGCTGAAAACTTCTGCTAAATAATTATATATGAAGATCCACTGGGATGGAGTGATAGCAGAGCGGATAGGGCGTTTACCTTGCACACAGCCAACATGGCCGACCCGAGTTCAATTCCTCCGCCCCTCTCGGAGAGGCCGGCAAGCTACCGAGAGTATCTCGCCCGCACGGCAAAGCCTGGCAAGCTCCCCATGACATATTCGATGTGCCAAACACAGTAACAACAAGTCTTACCATGGTGACATTACTGGGCCCACTCAAACAAATCGATGAACAATGAGAGGACCGTGACTGACCATGAGGATCCATTGTGGACATATGGGCTCCCAGTCAAACTGGGTAACAGTCCAGTGGGATGAAGCTAATGTGAATGGCAGAGATGAAGTTATCTGTGGGGTCAGAGAGCAGGAAAGCATGTCAGTACCTGGTGGCTTTTGAGGTTGAACTTTCCATGTGAGTGGTGGGATTGCACGTTGGAGGAAGTTCTGTGCCTTCTCAGGGCATCATCACCTCCGGTACCTCCAGCAAGTACTGTATCAGTATGGGGAGCATAGCTCTGAGAAGGAAGGGATTCTTTTCAGAATTGGCAGAAAATGCAACATGTTGCACTTATTGAAATCCAACATGTTTGTGATGTTAGGTGCTTAGAATCAGAAAACAAAATTTTAAGTATTTGAGATGAAATTGCACGCACGCACACACACACACACACACAGGAAATGGTAGCCAATTTTCAACGTAAGTGTAGAGGCTGGAGTGATAGCACAGCAGGTAGGACATTTGCCTTGCACGTGGCCAACCCGGGTTCGATTTCCAGCATTCCATATGGCCTCCAAGCATTGCCAGGAGTAATTCCTGAGTGCAAAACCAGGAGTGACCCTTGTGCTATCACCGGGTGTGACCCAAAAAGCAAGCAGTCAATCAATCAATCAGTCCATCAATGTAAGTGATTTATTAAAGCAAAAGCAAGCAGTCAATCAATCAATCAGTCAATAAATGCTTTTGCAAGGGAGAGACGTCTGCCCCCTACTGGTGGAGCAGGTACATGGGGAAGTCCTTAGAGACTGTGGCAAAAGCCCTGAGCAGTGTTGGAGCTCCTTAAAGCCTTAAGCGCCGAGTTCGGGACGCCCCAAGTCAGGACTGCTCTGACAATGAGGTAGGTCAGAGTAGGGCTTCTGCATTACGGGTAGAATCAGCACGTTAATTTCCAGAGCCAGGACCTCAGCAGGAGGAAACAGAAGCATGTTGGAGCCTCTGGAAAGGTCAGCTCCGTCAGCCCCAGATGGGACATGCCTGAGTCCTGAGGGGATATCTGCGGGCGTCCTGGCTGTGTGGTTCACACTGGAAGGAGATGAACTGGCCATGCAGTCCCACCCTATTGCCACTCCTCTCACACCCAGGTTCTCCGAGCATGTAGGATCGAGTCTAGCTCGGTCTTGTTGTCTAGCAGCTGACCATCACGCTGCCGGCTTAAGCGCAAGTCATATAACTCCGGGACTGAGAGGGGTCTGGTGGCCCCTGACTAAGCGTTTCCTTTGGTCTTGGTGCCACACCTGGCTGTGCATTCTGCGTGTGCTGGATTCCTGAGCCAACTCCCCCGCTGACTGTTTCTGCAGAGAGAGGACAGTCTAGGTCCTTCCCTCAGTGAGGCCTCCTGCTTCCCAGGATCCTCTGCAAACCCGGCCTCGAGCACAGGGGGAAGACCACAGGCCTTGTGATGGGGCCGGGGGCTTGCCAGGGAGCCCCCATGATGTCACGAATTCAGCCACACAAAACCAAATGGTGTCACTCAGGAAGGAAGACAAGCATGACCATGAGATGAGGGACCGTAAGGAGGGCAGCCACTCAGCGTGGACGACCAGGGAGGGCTCTGAGGGGGGCCAAAGACAAGACGAGGAGGAAAAGAATGGAGCAGGAAGATGGGTCAGAGCACTGCAAGGACACGGACCCCAAGTCAGCCAGCTCAGGGTCCCCAGCTGCCGGGGCTGGAAGAGAGACAGGACACAGTCGTGAGGTCCCGAGAGTGGGCACTGGAATGGACACTGCAGGCCCAAGCCGGAGAGTGGTGACACAAACGATGTACCCCAGAGACTTGCAGCCGCAGGGTGGCAGGGGATGGCAAGAAGGGGGAACCCTGGGGACACAGCTGGGTCCCGTGGGGACCCCCGAGGACACAGTGACTATCCAGGGCTAATAGGAAGGTAGGACCCCGGCTGTGGAGGAGGAGGAGGAGGAGCAGAGGGGAGATATATGTAGTCCAAGGTAGGACCCGAAGGTCTTGGGGGTGGCGGGGAGGAAGAGAAGGCAAAAGCGAAGCCCCCGGATGCACGGCTGGTCCTTCTCATGCTCTGCCTCTGTTCCTAGAGTCAGTTTCTCCTTCCGCAGAAACATCCGAGTGTTCGCTTTTCCTTAGGTCTTAGCACCACTGAGGGACTCGGAAGTCGGGGTCTCTCGAGATCTCACGTGTGGACGTTTCTTTTCCAGCCCACCAGGACTTCCTCCGAAAGCATTTACTCCAGGCCGGGCTCCAGCATCCCGGGCTCTCCCGGACACACCATCTACGTAAGTGATGATGCCACCGGGGGTGAGGGGAGGGCATTGTAGGAACCAGACGGGCGTGACTGGGCAGGGCACGGAACCCAGGGCTGATGCTACGCCTTGGGGCTTCTCCTGTGAGGAGACTCCTATCTCATTTGGGTCCCTCGCCTTGTCAGCTGTATTTCCTTCAGGTGATTAAAGGTGTGTGTAGCTGAGTTGACCCATGCAGATGAGGGCTGTGTATAAAACTGCAGTGATCAGAGGTTTACAAAAAGACATGTTGGTGTCCGCTGACATCTAGGCATTTGGCTATATTAAATTTAATATTTTGTAAGGCTGATACTAAGCATTCTTAAGTTCTGCCACAAAGATATTCTATTATTTGACTCATTATGCCTGTTTTTTAGCACTTAGGGAGAATATTTTGGATTCACTGTTTGAGCTTTCTCTTTGATGCATTAAATTTAAGAGATTCTGGGGCCAGAGAACTAGTCCAGTGGATAAGTTACCTGCCTGGCATGCAGCTGACCCCGGTTTGATCCCTGGCATCCCCCAAGTTCCCCCAAGCACCGTAAGGAGTGATTCCCAAGTGCAGAGCCACGTAGTAAACCCTGAGCATTGCCGGGTGTGGCCCCCCAGATAAAACTTTAAGACTTTCTTCTGAAGGTTTATAGATCTCTGACTCAGTGAATTCAGCGTAGACTTTATCCTAAGCTCTTGGTGACTTTTAAAAAACCTTGAGTAACATATGACATAAGTGGAAATGTTCTGAGGCCTGTAACCTAAGTAAGCCAGGGTTCTGTTTATTTGTCAAGTCTTTTAAAGTTGCTGAGGAAATGCAATCAGCATAGCTCCCCGCTGAACTGAGATTGCAGTGTCATTGTTCTTCCTGTTTAACTTCTCTAGGCCAGAGTGGACAACGAAATCCTGGACTATAAGGACTTAGCAGCCATCCCCAAGGTCAAGGCGATTTATGACATTGAACGTCCGGATCTCATTACCTATGAGCCCTTCTACACTTCGGGCTATGAGGACAGGCAGGAGCGGCAGAGCCAGGGAGAGGTAACTGCCTGCCGTCCGCCAACTGCCTTTCTCTCTCACGTGGGTCAGAACCGCTGATCCCCATTGCCTATGCTTGGACAGCGTCTCCCTGGGGGCTTTGCCGTCTACGAAGCCCCTTTCACTTCTCCCGACCCTCACGGCGTGGAAGAAGAGCAGCCCGACACCCGCAGACCCAGGCGGGCTGAGTGAGCGATGGCCAGGTTTCAGGCCGGTGGAGCCCACTTCCTGGGCGGTGACCCTAACAGGGAAAGTCTGGAAGTTGGGCAGAGGGCAAGGTTTGGGGGCCTTGTGAGGAGGTGGCCCTGTCGGGGGACAAGCTAGAATATTCCTGGGGTGTGGAAGAAGAGAGAGCTTACACCCTCCATGGGGGCTGCTACAGTTTTCATGATTAGAATGCAGCAGGGAAAGGTGGTCTTGACGCTCCCAGCCCAGCACTGGGGTGGGACCAAATGACCCAGGCGTATCCCTGGGACCCATATTCTGCATGTGTGACTTTGACCAGGTGAAAGCTCTGGGGAACCATTGTCCCCACCTGTCAACCCACAAGGCTAGAGGGTGTGACCCAGGGCGTGAAGATCACGCACGTTTATCTGGTCAGGCAGCTCGCAGAGACCAGAGGTGGGGTGGATGCTAGCGGCGGTGGCTGTTTTCTGCATCTTCTGGCTGTAGTGACACTCTCCCAACTCAGGGGTCCAGAGGCTGGACCCAAGCCTCCGGCTCTGTAGGTCCCCCCACCCAGCTCTCCCAGGCTTGGGGTTCCCGGCTCTCTTGGGCCTATTCAACCCCACGATCTATTTTTCCCTTTTATTAATTTTTAATATGGGCCACACCCAGCAGTGCTGGTGTAGGAATAGGGGAGTCATGCTTGGCCCTGGGTGGGCTGGGTGTGGGGGGGCTTGCAGGCCTGGTGATTTAGTACTCAGGCCTGCAGATGCTTTGCAGCCACCAGGACCACCCCAGGTGATGCTGGGAATCAAACTCAGAGCCTTCCGCCCTGTTTTGCACGTGCTCCCTTGCCTGAGCTGTTTCCCTGGCCGCTTGGATTATTGGAACTGGATCTTCTCCAGACAGACTTGGGTCAGCTCAGAACATCCAGAAGGCACCATGGTTCTCTCTCGAGTGTTCTCGGTCATGTGCGATCTCTATTACTTTTAATTCCTTCACGTTTGTCTATAGGATGGGCTGGAGTGATAGCACAGCGGTAGGGCGTTTGCCTTGCATGCAGCCAACAGGGCCGACCTGAGTTCGATTCCTCTGCCTCTCTCGGAGAGCCTGGCAAGCTACCCGTGATATATTGGATATGCCAAACACAGTAACAACAAAGTCTCCAATGGAGACGTTACTGGGCCCACTCGAGCAGATCAATGAACAACGGGAGGACAGTGATGTTCCCCAGTGATGTTGTCTATAGGACTGTACACCGCTTGCTGTTTCTCTTCCCACCTGTTTTATTGCAGCTCTACCTAGTAACAGGTGGCCAGGGGGAGCTTGTGTCTGTAGTCTCATAGCACCACCTGCTGGTCGCATCCTTGCAGGGTACCAACCCTGGTCGCATCCTTGCAGGGTACCAGCCCTGGGTGTTTGGCTTGTCTCTGGTCACCAGAGATTTTTTTTTTTCTTCTTAAGTGGTGGAGACACGGCAAGGGAAGAATCCAGATAAAGTGCACAGGGCTGGTCCTAGAATCCACAGATCAGAATTCCCTAGAGTTCGAGTCATGTAAGCAAGGGAGAGGGGATTTGTCTGGTGGTGTAGTGGAGGTGTTGGGAGGTGTATTCAGGTGGTGTGTCCCCCAGGGTCCCTTCTGAGTCCCATCAGGAGCGTGGGCTTTGGAGTGGACGTTCAGACTTCAGAACCAGACTGACGCCTACTCGTCCTGTGGCTTTGGGAAAATTACCTACTTTAGGCTCCTGATCTGTAAACTCACATTAACAGTGACACCAATCATCGGGGGGTTCGTGAGTGATAAGTGAGATGTTGCTGGGAGCCAGACCTGGTACTTAAGTGGCCTTGCTCGTCCAGGGTTGAGTGCCCGCCTACTTCGGGAAGCAGCCGTTTTAGTGAACTCTTTTCTGATGCCAAGCGCCTGCCCCTTTACTCTGCTGCTGTTGGATTATTATTTTTTTTGGAGGGGGTTGGGGAGACTTGGAGTCACACCAGGCTTCAGTGCTCAGGGGTTACTTCTGGTTCTGAACTCAGGAGTTACTTCTTGGCAGTCCTGGGGGGACCATATGGGATTCCGGAGATCAAACACAAGTCTGTCAGGCAAACACCCTCCCCGCTGTACTATCACTCTGGCCCTGCTGTTGGATTCTTGTGTTCATTCTGGACACTTCTTCCATGGGGCTGTACATTGCTTATTTTATTTATTTGCGTATGTGTGTGTTTTCTTTATTTTTAAATTTTATTTGTTTTAATTGAATCACTGTGGGTACACAGTTACAAAGTTTTTCATGATTGTTTTTTTTTTATTTGTTTTAATTGAATCACCATGAGACTCAATCACAAAGCTTTCATGTTTGAGTTTCAGTCATGTATTGATTGATCATCCATCCCTCCATCAGTGCACGTTTTATACCACCAGTGTCCCCAGTATCTGTCCCCCCACCCCACATCCCAACCCTCCCCCTGCCTCTATGGCAGACAATCTCCCCCATACTCTCTTTTGTATTGCTTGTTATGAATAGCATAAGATGTCATACGCCATGCTCCTGAAATTCTAAAATTTTAGATAATTAGGGTCTGGAGAAATTTCTGCAGTGAGTGCTCAGTTCCCAGTCTCTGGATCATGGCTGTTAAGGAGCTTAAATAGCAGTTCATGGGGTGACCTCCAGGGTCCCATAGGGATGAGGAGATGAGAAGGGCCAGCTATTGCCCTATTCCTTGAGGCCTGGAGTTTGCCATCAGTGAAACCACTTACCTGCACTTCACTTTGGGTTCTGAAAAGTTGAGGGCCACTGGGATTCTTAGGGTGCAGGTGAAGGGACGATACCTGCCCCCATCTGAAGCATCCCAGTGAAATCGGTCTGGCTTAAAGTCCAGAGGCATCTCTGCAGTGAGCTGCTTGGTTCCGAGATTCTTTTGTGTGTCTCTAGTGATTGGTTTTAGTCATCCCATGTTCAAACACCCATCCCTTAGATTGCTGTTTTAGAAGCATCAAAGACCTGAGCTTGACTTTTGGGGTGCAGCCTAGTATTCCCAAGGCAGGGCCGGCGGGAATACCTGATGTTGCCCAGAGATAGGCTGCCATGGCACAACCCACCACTGGGCAGAGGAAGGGGCGAGGGAAGCTGCCCTCGTGATGAACATGGGGCCTCTTTTTCCTCTCCAGTGACAACCTTCTCATCAATTCACTGGGGAAATAGAGGTTGAGCCCTGGGTCACTCCAGGGGCAGTCCATGGCTGAGAATGTTTGGACAAGAACAGTCTATGTCCTTGCAGAGTCTGGCCTAGAGCCAGGAATGGGGGTGATGGAGCACAGGTCACCACCCCCTTCACAGGGGTCAAGGGTACAGAAAGTGCAGCCAGGAAAAGAGGTGCTGGGGCTGGGGGGTCATGGAGGACCCTGTGTGGCAGAGAATCTGCTCGCTGAATTGAAGGTGGGAGCTGGCTGCTGGGCTCTGTGTGTGTGTGTGTGTGTGTGTGTGTGTGTCCGTCCGCCCGCCGCTAATGAAATCCAGAGTCACTGCCATGTCTAACTCCCCTCTCTCTCCTTCCTCTAGTCTCCCAGGACCCTGTCACCTACGCCATCGGCAGAAGTAGGTACCATTTTTGAAATTTACACTGGGGAGGAACTGGGGAGTTCCTTGGGCCTTTCCTCGAATGGGGCTTTCTGACAAAGGACCTCAAACCAAAGACTGAAGAGCTGTGTATGGGCCAGTGAGCAGGAGAGGGTTTCTTTCTACACCAGAGCGAGAGATAGAGCCTCACCCAGCTCTGGGCTCTGCAGGAGGGAAGGTTTAAGGGATCTAGCCCCTGACCCCAGCCTGGGCACTGGCTCCCGTCTCCTGAGTTCTCCTGGACTCCCCTATTCTGGACTGTCTGGAGGGCCCAGCAGGACTCTCCTGGCCCATCAGCAGAGCCGTCTGCAGGCAAGGCCATGCTTTGGAGTCTAAGATCACTGAAACCCCCTATCACGGGTGAAGCTTTTCTGTGATTCTGATCGACACCCCCAGGCTGTCCCAGATGAGTGACCAGCCCGGGTGGGTCTCATCACACCCAGTGGCAGCCCTGTGGTCAGCGGTAAGTCCCATGTGACCTCCCAGATGGACTGCATCAAGCTGTCCTGCCCCAGAGCCGAAACCCACGGCCCCAGTTACTTCTTTTCACCGTCTGTTTAGTGGAGTGTCTTCAGGAAGCTCATGATAGCTAGCTTCAAAGCAGAAATTCTTTCACAGTGGGGCCCGGTTTCAGTAGATTCTTGGTTTGAGGCAACTCCACCCCGTGTGAACCACCAGAGACCTTAGCTGTTTTCCCTGGAGGGGTACTTTGAGATTGGAACTCAGAGCCCTCAAATCTGAGGGTGGTCCAACCAAGGTCTATCTGGCCCACACGCTACTTCATTGTAGCTGTTAGGGTTGACCAAGAGTCCCTGTGCTTCACACGATTTTACAGTTCCTTTCATTTCACAGTTTCACATTTGATAATTCCTTTCATTTCACCAATTTCATTTAATTTCACCCAGGGTGCCAGCACCTATGGGGTTGGGTGTATCCCCTACCTAACATTTGATTCTAAAATCAACCTGTAGCCTTGCACCAAGCAGCTTTCTGGGTATTACACATAAAATCCGACTGATCCCAGATCATCCCTCTAATTTGAGATAGCAAACCGCATCGCACTCTGATGGTCCGTGACTAAACACTTAGGAATAATTCATTTCCTTGGATATTCTGTCATTTACTCTTTAAGTTATTATTGATCAATTGTAAGGTTAAGATATATTTTGGGTCTTTTTACTTTGGTGGTGTTAATTAATGTATTGTTAGGCCAACAAGGATAAAACCCAAACCAAAGTTTCTTTGCCTCTTTCTTTCTTTCTTTCTTTCTTTTCTTCTTTCTTTCTTTTTCCTTTCTTTTTTCTTTTTCTTTCTTTGTTTCTTTGGTTTTTTTCCTTTTTCTTTCTTCTTTCTTTCTTTCTTTCCCTCTTTTTTCCTTTCTTTCTTTTTGAGGGGGGGTGGAATACCAGCTGTGCTCAGAGATCACTTCTGGCAGGGCTCAGAGGGCCAGATGGGGTGCCAGGGATCAAACTGGGTCAGCTGCATGTAAAGCAAGTACCTGGACCCCTCTTTGCCATTTTCTCCCACATTTTATATAGCCATGGTTACTGAGGGTGTCATTGAGTCATTTGTCGGAATCCTTCAGACTCTTGTTTTATTACAATTGTAGAAACTTCACAGGATGACAAATTCCCAAAATGTAAAGCATTCCTTATACTCTCCTAATTCTTTAAAGACTTGTGTGTTTCATTTGAGTGTGTTATTTTTGTACTTAAAAACATAATAGATTCTTTTGTAGAGTTAACTCTTGGTATGCTGATGTATCCCACTGAGATAATATCCATAATGGCATAACTGTTTCCCAGTTCATTGATCATTTAATAACAAAGTTTTATGTTTATTAATGCTAGTATTATATCGGTCAGTCGATTTTTCCACTTAAACATTTTTAAAGATCTTTTCCTATAGCGAAATAGAATTACTAGGCTTGAGTCCCTCACCAATTCTTCCTTCTGGAAAATTAGTATAAAATGTCACCAGGCCAATGTCACAGACATTGTGACATTGGTCAGTGAAAGGGAGATTAGGGTCAGGAGCTGGTTCTAAAAAGCTGCACTGTACTGCCTACACGCCGGGCTCTGGCCTGCTTGGAACATTCTGTAACATTTTATAGTCACAGGGAAGGGAGATAACATGATTTCTTCTGATGCAGATCTGATGAAACAAAACTGGAAGTAAACGAGAAAAAAACAATCCCAGGAATTAAACTTTCCCAGAGTGCTCAGTGTGGGTGCTTGCAGTTTGCATGCCTTAAAAATTCAGGGAAAGGAACATATTGCCAAAATGCTTGAACATTTTGTTCAATGTGCATTTGTCCGAATATGTCCCCAGGGCCTCTGATGCAGGCACCCCGAGTGGACCCACTGATCTCTGCGTAGCTTTTGTGCAACTTTGATTCTCAAACGTAGCGATTGCCCTAATGTAGGTCTGGGTCTCACACTTTCTCCCTCTTTATTTCCCAGGGGTACCAGGACATCCGGGATCGGATGATCCATCGGTCTACGAGCCAGGGCTCCATCAACTCCCCCGTGTACAGCCGCCACAGTTACACTCCGACCACCTCTCGCTCACCCCAGCATTTTCACAGACCTGGTAAGAGCAGCGGTTTGGGGGCGGGTGCTGTGTGACTCCCCTCACCCCTGAGCGCTGGCTGCAAAGCATCACTCCCCACCCCCCACCCCCTCCACCAGTCTCCCATGAAAAAAAGAAAGGGAAAATTCATATTCAAAAAGCCCTATCCCTCTCCCAGGAGAGGAAAAAATGGAAAGTTCATCTCCAACTCTGTTTTGTGTGGTCTCTTTTCTGAAAACATGTCATTGTACGGTTCTGTTTATTATAATGGATTGAATAATTGCATTTTAATGGCAAATTCACTAGAAAGTTTTCTTCTGATCCAGTCATGATTCCAATACTGAAGGCAAGGAAGATTTTTGGTTTAGACTTGAAGAAAATCTCATCCTCCTGAAGTTGAAATGAAGATCTCCAACAGAAAAGATTCTGATGTGTGTGTCAGGGCTGGCCACTGCAGATGAGTGTCTAGGGTGTTCCTTATTCAGACCTGGGCTTTACGCAGTATGCGTGGACAGTTCGTACTTTGGAGAAGCAAGGACTAGATTCAGCCTCAGGGTTGTGTTGGATAACTTTTCTAAGCTCCTTTCCAATCCTCTGCTTTTGAATCGTACTTGCAAAACAAAAACACCACAGACATGAGTGATAGAGTAATGGACCTGGGGTGACCATTCTCTGCAGCCCCATTAGGTCCCCATTGGTAGGACGAGTCTGTGGAGTCGGAAACATGGGTAGACCCAGCCCAGAACTGGGGTGCCCTGAGTAGGAGCTTCACAAAGGAAGACTTCAGGCTTGAGTGGTGATAAGAACAAACCCGTTCATGTGTCAGTGGAACAGTGAAGCCCAAGAAATGAGCCAACGTCCGTAGGCTACTGTCTTCTCTCACAAACCCTAGATTTAAGCTCAGTAGAAAGCTCAAGCCTCACCACTTGACTCTCCCAGGAAGTCCTGTGTTCTCCAGGCCCATGACTGTCGCCTCTGTATCCGTTGAGTTGCCGTCTGTGAGTTTGCAGATTGTGTCTGCCCGCTGTTTCCATGCACAGCTGGATGCATTTTATCCAGGACCAGACCTGGGGCCCGACTTAAGCCCCGCTCTGTCTTGCTCACAAGAACCCCTTTATATTGCCACCTCTGCAGAATGGTTTATGCCAAGGTCACTGAGACCCTAGGCCTGACCTTGTCAGAGTGACGCAGGGTCCCCCCAGACCCCTGAATAGTGCGGGGGTGGTCAGCCAGCAACCTTTTCTCCCTGAAAGGCCGTGTCTGGATTGACTCTATGGAGCCCTGGAGAGTGGCCTTCTGGCCAGTTCCCCCTAGGGTGCCCTGACCTTTAGCGACACTGCTGTTCTCAGACCCCATGCTTCTCCCCCACACAGAACAGGAGCTTTCTGTCGCCCCTTGCTGGGCCTTCTTACTGTGTTCTGAGGTCTCCCCAAGCCAATGAAGCAGGCAGGGCCTGTTAACAGCGACACAGTTAGAATCCAGCCCCTCTCACTGACCTCTCCTGCCTTGGGGGCGGCCCAGGGCAGGCTCAGCCTGCCCGAGGTCTGGGTGGGATGGGAGGGACCAGCTGTGGCTCTCCCCCTGCGAGAACAAGGCCTCCCCGTGCCCAGCACTGCCCCTATTGGGCTCAGGGTCTTACTTAAGCGGCAATTCCTGCAGAGGCAAAAAGCAGAGTACCAACCGGCGGGGGAAGTCGGCCACCGAATCTCACGTCTGAGCCTCTCCTAGACAGGTCACTTTGCCGGGTGCTTGAAACGATGGATGGTCATTTTGGAATAAGCAGTTCCGAGGTGCCTGACTCAAAACAGCTTATTTTTAAGTCGAAAAGACGCGCCCCCACCCCCTCCTGTCTCAAGGGGGCCTGGACTTACTCCGATGGAAGGTCCAACACACCAAAGTCCTTCTCACCAAAGCCATTCATCCTCAGAGAGTGGCTCTTCCCACCCGGACTCCCCACCCCCACCCCTGGACCTGACCCTGCAGCCTGACCCCCGTGGCCTAACCCCAGTAGGGATGCTCTTAACCCTTTCTCCTCCCTCCCTTTCCAGATGCCTCACTAATGCGTTTTCCTTGCCACCCCACCCACCCCCGAATGTTGTCCCTGCTCCCGGTTAATTTCTGTTCTTCTTTTCTGTTTCTGCCCGCCCTGCCCCGGGCTCTGGCCGCGCAGAGCTGTTGTCTCCTGGTGTGCAAAGGCTGTCCCACCTGCGCACCAGCAGTCCCAGCTCCCACAGCGACTCCCGCCCCAACTCCCCCTTCCGACACCACTTCATCCCCCATATCAAAGGTAAGGAGGCAGACTTGCGAGGCAGCGCCCAGCCGCGCAGAGCCCTATTAGCAGCGGGGCCAGGCTAATAAGGTGTAGCTCCAAGGACGCGGCCCCACGCTTCCGGCCTCTCCGCATGCCTGCGTGTGTCGTCACCACGCCCGGCCGCCTCTTAGAACTGGCATCGCACCTCCCGTTGGGAGAAACGTGTCATTTCTAAGGACTGGAAGAAACAGGAAGTACGCTGCAGGTCCCCCCAAGAGTGGCGAGCTGGTCAGCGGAGAGCACAAACATATATTATGATTTTGTTTTTCCTGCCCCGTGCCAAAAGCAAAATATAATATATAGATGGGGTGTGCCTTTTCCTGGATTTGGTATGGGATTTGTGTCAGCCGGAGGGAAAATTGTGTGATGAAAATCCCAAATTCATCGGACATGGGGGTAGAGAGACCACCTTAGTTTTGCAACACGTGGGCCATGCTATGTAGCTTGCGCTTCTTAGAGGGCATTTCATTTGAGTCATGGGCGAGAGGGGCAGTGCTCTCTGTATTCTGTTCCTGCCCCACCTGTCTGCCCCCCACAATATCCCTCACCCCCACATCCCTGTTCAGTCTCCTCTCATTCCTGTCCCCCTTAAGGGTGACAAAAGCCCCCAAAGGACTTAAAAAGGGACCAGAAACCAAAATAAATACTAGATTCAGTCTGGGGCTTGGATTGGAACCAAATCAGACAATGAAAATAGTAGCAGGAGGGATCAGCCAACAAGCAGAGATGTCACGGGTCTTAAAACAGACTTGGGGGCTGGAGCGATAGCACAGAGGGTAGGGCATTTGCCTCGCACGTGACCAACCCGGATTCGATTCCCAGCATCCCATATGGTCCCCTGAGCACTGCCAGGATAAATTCCTGAGTGCATGAGCCAGGAGTAACCCCTGTGCAACGCCAGGTATGACCCAAAAAGCAAAACAAACAAACAAACAAAGACTTAAGGATTCTGACCATGCCCCAAGCTATAGACATCACTGGCCAGTGACCTCAGAGTGAGTCCGTTTAACACCACTGTCATGATTGACCGACATAAGACTTTTCCTCAGTGCTCCTTTGGATTTTAGAGCAAGGGGCTCCTAAAATATAGATGGACCACACTCACAACTGCCGTTATTGCATAAATAACTGTGCTGTTCTAGTGCTTTCCAAGCCACAAAAATATTCTTGCTGACATGCTTGTTGAAGACACACACCACTTACGATTGGCCAGAGAAATCTATCTTGTTCAGTTAGGCACAGCACTTTCCAAAATTCCTGGCAGATTATTTTAAATGATTCTTGTCAGTCAGTCATGGGGATGGAAGAAAAACGCTCTGACTAGCTAGAAGCCAAGAGGCCATTTTGGAGAATATTTATAGACCCGGGAGAAATTTTGAGAAAAACTTGGGAGATGTATTTTTAAAGAGACGTTATATAGAAAACCCGCCTTGGCCCAGTTAAGCTGTGCTCGCTTCTGATACGCCAGAGAAGTTATGTTTTTGATCCATGAGAACGTGAGCTGCCTCGTGATTTCTATACGTTTCATCTTTCAGAAGAGATGCATTTTGTAGAATGACAGAACCATGTGCCTTTTGTAAATCAATATGAAGCATATGCAGATAACATACCCCAACATAACCAGCCCTACCAGAGCTGAGTCTGGAGGGAGTCTTGTGGGTAGACGGACTCCCGCATTCCAGTAGTGTCCCTGTCCCATGCTGGAGGTGGCCCCTGGGATGGTGGGCTTAGTCCCAAGATTGGTTCAACGATAGGGGTGAGTGAGGGCGAGCACTGTTCTTTGTCATGTCATCTCAGCATCCCTGAGGATGCTGACCGTTACAAGGTTCACAGACTCTAAAGTGGCAGCCAGGGATCCAGCTTGGAGTCTTAAGTATGTGAGGCATGAACTTCATTGCTGAACTTTTCCACTTCTTTGTAGCTTGAAAATGCCATTCTCAGGGCCAGAGCGATTCTAAGCAAGGAGGGTGTTTGCCTTGCACGCAGCTGACCCAGGTTCGATTCTTGGCATCCCATATGGTCCCCTGAACACCTCCAGGAGTAAGTCCTGAATGCAGAGCCAGGAGTAATCCCTGAGCATCACCAGGTGTGACCCAAAAAGAAAAAAAAAGAAGAAGAAGAAAGGAAAGAAAAGAAAATGCCATTCTTCCTGAGGCCAGGACAGACAGAGTGCAATGGATAGTCATTTAAAAGACAAGATTCAGCAACATTCCCTTTTCCCTGACTGGAAATAATAGAGATCAAAGAAAGGACCATTTCTCCAGGTGCCTGATGATCTTTATTAAGACCGGAGCAGGACACTTGGTCTGAATGTAAAGCTTTAGACACAAATGGCCCGTGTTTAACTGATAAGCAGCGGTAAGCCAGGAGGGACTAGTGCAACCCCAAATTCACTCTTAAGACTTGTTTATTCATAGGAAATATGATGTCTGTAACAAGCAGATGTTCAATCGATAATTTTTTTTTTTGCTATGAGAAAAATCATGGAGTCTTTACCTATTAAAGGTATTACTTTAAGAATCTACTGTAGTTGAGTGGCTAGATGTTGATTCTCCATGGAATTATTTCTTAATTATTTTGAATAGCACTTGTTCATTTATGTGGATGGTCTCTCCAGCACTTGGAAATTTCTGCACAGATGAGACTTAGGACCATTTGAGAAGCCCCTTGACGATCTCCTTCACACAAGACCCATCTCCCAGGGTTTTCA